ATTCAGTCTGGCTGAATCTATCTTAATGCCTCCTTCCGTCAGGTCCATCCCCAGCTGTTCACCCCATTCACCCCAGGCTGTAGTGAACTCCTCCTCCAGGAAGCCTCCCTGGATCCTAGACCTTTCATGCGCTCCCTGAAAACTCTGCACATAAAGTGGTCACGACACCTGCTATGAGTTTTAAGACCTTCCTTTCACCCATCTACCTCTCCCACTGGACAGGAGGGTGAGCGCCCTCGAGGACAGGGGCCGTTTCCCAGGACCCTTGCCATCTTCGGCATCCAGCCCAAGTCCTGGAACATAAAAGGTGCCCATAAGTGCGCACCTGTGAGCACACCATCCCACCAGGAAGGCTGGAAACGGAGCAAAGTTCTGAAGTAGAAGCTGGTTTTCTCGTAGCTACAGACGGTCCCAATGTCTACACCGGCGTGTGTCAAAGTACACGGGTAAGCTGTTCTTAGGACTGAGGGCTCATTCATTTCCCTATCGTAGGTGGTGGGTAAGGACTAGAGCCTGACCTCAGAAATCCATTTAATGTGACCGAACTGTACTTTTAACACTCCAGTACGAGACGCCTCACCGCTTAGATCATACGGAACGATCATCTCTATGAACGACTGTGATCAAAGTTCCGGTGCCAGGAACACGTCTCCTTCCTGGCCTCCTGCCCTTCTGTTTTAAGACAATAAGATCTTGGACGCGCCGCCCCCCCCCAATGCACCTGTTCCCAGGTTCCCACTTCCTCCCCCACCAGCACGGCCCAGGCTGCCCATTTCATACCCACATTCCCCAAGGTTGGCCTGCTGGTCTCAGGGAGCCATCTCTCGCATGACGGGATGTTAATGGGGGCCGGGGGGTTGGGGGGGGAGGCTGGCTGCCCCCTTCTTCCAGATCAGCCGTGCCGAGTCCTCCCAGGTCTCCCCAAGCTGGCTGACCCCAGAGAGTGAGGACAGGCGCAGGGGAAGGGTCCGGCCCAGAGCTGCCAGGCAAGCGCGGGAGAGATCTTCAGCCAGGCACACGGTCCCCGAAATTACAATGTTGAGTTCTCCTTGCTCCCACAATGTCACAGAGCGGTCCTCCTGCGGGGAAACTGACCAAGAAGTCAGGTCCCTTAAGGTCCTGGTGAGATGAGGGGACAGTCCCATGTCTGGGCCACTTGAACACTGCGGCCACAGAAGGGGGCGTCACCTGTGTCCACAACTGCGGGTGCTCTGACCGCAGCAGACCGCCACCGCCAGGTATTAGAGACATTCGCGATTCTCTTCTCCTTGCTGACGACGCCACAGCTCCCGGTGCCTCTCATGCGGTGAGAAAGCACCGTGTGCACCCGACGAGAGGCAGAGAAGTTCCGGGGCCTTCCACTCTCGTGTTACATCTGCAGCTCAGCAAGCGGGAACCATTAGCGTGTAAAAGCGTCTGCGACACCGTGGACACCGTGCTGCCCGAGGGAGTGACAGGCCGCAGAGCACATGGCAACAGACGGCTGTATTTCCTGAGCCAGGCGGCCCTGTGCTCCGGTCTCACTCTTGTCACTTACTACGGGGTTCGGGCCACGACAACATCCCTGACCTCCGTTTTCTCAACCGTGAAAGGGGAGCCGGAGAACCCAACATGCTCTTCAGCTGTGACGGGCCTCACGTGAACCACAGAACATGGACGGCAACTGGGGGGACCATTCCCTTGATTCTCCCCAGGATGGACCTAACCACCCTTCTCATTCGAGAAGCATCAGAGGGAAGTTAATTACATACAACGTGCACCTTAGGGCATGAGGGCTTAATTCCAGCAAGAGAGACTGACATGGAATGAGCTGAGCTGAGCACTATGGGTAAACAATCCCCTCCAGGTTTCCTGTAGGTTCCTGGGGAAGACAGGAAGGAGCTGGGAACCGGGAGGGCATGGGTGCAAGTCCCAGTCCAAGGGATGGGGGGTAGGGGGCGGCGGTGTCAGAGCTGACACAGAAACAGAAACTAACCGTTCCCACAGGCTCTCCCCCTTGGCTTCTGTTTCATTCGAGGGGCAGGGATGAAGGAAATCATGTGAGCACTTTGCACCTAATGCATTTCTCTCTGCAAATGGAAAATACAATTAAGCATTACAGTTACTGATCTTCAAACTGCCATGTATTACATGCTTGCCTCTAGAAAGCGGTGTACATTTGATGTTCCCCCTCAGTGTTTTGAAAAGAACAAAATTACTTCTTTCTAAAACATCTGAATTTATACTTCCGTGATTTTATGATCCCACGTATGCCATTACATATCTCAAAAGCAAACATGTTTGAGGGTTTAGCTTTCAGACCACACACACACACACGCACGCACACACAACCCCTGACAATTTCTATTCTAAATGAGTCTTTCCAAAGCCTCTTAGCTCAGGAAAGGAAGAGGAAAGAAGGTTCATTGTTTTCAGTAGCAAGCGGAGAGGTCAGCCCACCAAGCTGCAGGGCCAGGCACGGAGAGCCTTGGACCAGAGGTCAACTGATCTGCCATCTGAAGCCCGTGCTACTGTCCTGCTGCTGTCCCTGGACGCGTCACTTTATTCCTCTGGGCCCCAGTCTCCTCACCTGTGGAATGTAAGTTCCCTTCCTGCCACCGAAGGATAAAACTTTACCTCCAACGCTGCGTAACTGAGGAACTAGAAATGTTTGCCTCCAACCCTCAGGAAGGCGGAGACCAGCAAGACAATATTTGAACAAGGCTTTAAGGTTATATAATGAAATCGAAATAAACAAGACTCAAAATCACAGAGCTGTCAGCCACTCTAGAGGCCTGGCCAGCCAGGTGAAGTGAAACTGAACTCTCCATGCACAGGAGACGGTTGGCAACGGTCCCTTCTTTCTTCTAGCGTTCCTATGGCTAAGGGGCTAGGGTGTTCTCAGGAGGCAGGCTGAAAGCGAGCTTGAACCGACAGTCAGCCTGGGCAGTGTCCCCACTCTTTCGGAAGGACATTAGGCATCAGGTTTACCCCACACACTGCTCTGCAGGTAGAGAGATTAAGCCCTCACCTGTTATAAATTACAGACTAAATAAAAAGTGCACATAATAACCTCATTTCCAAAGCCAAATCCCAGCCCATGTCTGAGTTCAAAGGTTCCTGCCGCACAGAGGCTGGTGAGAAGGGCTGCACCACCACCTGGCCATGAGAAATTGGGCCTGTTACTTCTCTCTGCCTCTCTTGTCTCATCTGTAAAATGGGGATAGTAATAATATCTATGTTCCAAGGATGAGAGGGGGATTTATGAGTTACTACTGCATGTAAATCCCTCAGAAGAGTTCCTGGCTCATGTTAAATGTTTGATAAGTGCTACCTAACATGCTCACTGATAGCAATGTTAACACAATTCCAGAACTATGCCTATGATACCAGAGCAGATGGGAAGGTCCCGGGGAGATACAGCTGCTCCCTACCTCCACCTCCTGACCCTTTCAGGGGGTCTGAAAGAAAGAGGTCTGGGAGGTAACAGACGGCTGATTGGAAAAGAGGAAAAGGAACCTGCGGACGGTGATGGCGTAGAAAAATCACAACCAAAGGCACTGAAAGGAGGTGAGCTGTGAAAGCAACAGCAGGCCGTGCTGGGAAAGCACTTGCCAAGGCGAAGCAGGTAAAAGGCAAGAAAGCACCATGTGGGAGACACTCGTGATACCGAATCAAGACGCCCGCACATGCGTAGCACAAATAAAAAAGTGGAGAATCCAACTGGGTGGATGGAAGATGGCAAATGGGGGAGGGGGGGCGGGGGAGGTAGATGAAAATCACAATATGGTATAAGAAACAGTCGCATAAAACTCTTAAGGGTGTGGGGGTAGAGAACAAGGCTCAGGAGCACAAGATGTGCATAATTAACAGACGCCAGAACAATGGGGTGAGGAGGTTTGCAAACTGGGGGACCTGAAGAAAAAAGGTGCATTTGTTAAGAAAGGTGGAAAAATAAAATGGAGTGAGATTTCTGTGCCCGTTGGCAAAGGAGAGAGCAGAGAACAGGGAACACTTGAAGGGGGGGGTTGTAGGGAAGAAAACACCAGGCAACACCGAAAACGAGGTGAGGTGCAGAGAAAACCGGGGCGTGGGGCGTTGGTTTTGATTTTGGATAGCCTTGGCCATAAATGCTAAGTAACTTCAAATTGCCGTTCTATTATTCACACTACCATCCAATGCTGGGAAGCAATTAGCCCGGAGAGTTCTTGTTTGCTTTGGTTTGGTTTGCTTTTTCGCGCTTGGAGGGAGGGGAAATTTGCTCAGGCTCTGCAACTTTGCACAGTCGGACGGGTGGCCCGCCAGCACAGGTCACCCGGGTTCCCCCCGCCGCGGGCAGCGGCGCCCGCCGGGTTCTACCTTCCTGGGGCTGGTATGCAAATTCCCGCACCGCGTCAGCCGCAAACGCAACCGCACCGACGCGAGCAACTGCCTCCGATTCAGAGATCGCCGACGCCGGGTCCCACCGGCCCTACTAGTGAAATGAGACCCAGCTGCGACCCAGGGAGAACCCTGCCTTCAAAACCAAGTTCTCCGACCGCATCCCCGGCGGGGCCGCCGCTGCAGCAGCGCTGGGCAGGGGGCTCGCCGCACCGGTCACGGGCCGGAGGGAGCGGAGCCGAGCAGGGAGTGCCGGCCGCCCCGGGCTCCCCGAACCTTCGTCCGCCCTCCGCGCGCAACCCCGCAGGCCAGGCCCGGCGGGTCCGCAGCGCGAGGTAAAGTTTCGGGGGGGGTCCCCGAAAGGGTCGTGCAGGAGACGGCCTCTCCCAGGAGCACCGCCTGCACGCGCTCGCCCCGGGCCAACGCCGCCGGCGAGCCCGGGGAGCGCCGAGCAGCCGCTGCAGGGCACCCAACAGGTGGGCAGCCCGGGCGGCCCCGCGGACGGAGCGGGGCGGCCGCGGGCTACGGAAGCCGTCGCCTGGGGCTACCTCCTCTCCCGAGGCTCCCAGCTAACAGCCCCGGCCGCCCGCCCCGCGCCCCGCGCCCACCCCGCGGAGCCGCACGCCCGGGTGCAGCCTCACCTCGCGTCCCCGCGGACACAGGGCCGGTCCCGGTCCCGCCGAGCTGCGAGCACGCCGGGCTCTCCGGGAGCCTCTGCACCCGTGCGCTGCCTCCGGGCTGGCGGCGGGCGGGGCTGCCCCGGGAGAAAGCGCGCTGCCGAATCCCGCCCGCGCCGCGGCCGCCCGGCTCCCCGGGCCACGCCCCCAGCGCGCCCGGCCACGCCCCCAGCCCGGCTCTCCCTCTACGCGCGCGCGGCCCGGCGTTCGCCCCAACCCAAGCCACGCCCCCGGCCGGCCCTGAGCACGCCTCCCCCGCCGCGCTCCGTCCACTCTCAGGCCACGCCCCCGAGCTGGCTCTCCGTCCACGCCTCCGGCCCTGCCACGCCCCCGCCCCACAACTCCACCCTCCCAGGCCACGCCCCCCTCCCAGCGCCCCGGGCAAAAGCCACCGTTGCCTACCGCCCGGCTGCCCCCACCATCCTCCCAGCCATTCCCAACCCCCCACCGCATCCCCCCTCCCCCCATCAGGGTATGCCCCGCCCAGACACGCCCCCGGCCCTGCTACACTTCTCCGCGACCCCAGCTCTTCTTGCTCTCAGCTACACACCCCCAGCCCGGCTCCTTTCCAGCCACCCCCAGCGACTCCCCCAAATCACTGCCCCAGCCTTTCCCAGGGCCCGAGGGGCCGCCGCGTCGCCTGGGCAACCTCCCCTCCCCCGCCCCCGGCCCCCTCGCCCCACCTCTGCCTGGGCGCGGAGTTCACTGTAGGCGCAGGCATCGTGGCCGCGGGCGTTCCGAGCCCGGGAAACACTAGGTGAGGATGTTTAAACCTACTCTCTCCCCCAGGAACCAGGGCAAGACTTGGGTGAACCGTTCGGTGAACCCACTCGGAGCAATACCCCCTTTGTCCGCGCGGCTCACGGGCTGATCGTTAATTCGCAGGAAGACCACAGAGGCGAAGCCGACCCTCCGGTGCTCGGATGTGGACCCCAAACATTCTGGGCATGTTTCCATGCCACTGATGAAACTTGGGTAAACATACTCTTCTGAAAACTGCCAGTCTTTAGGTGATTCATCTGAATGGTTACTATGAGCCAGCCCTACTGTAAACATGGATTACTTTTATAATCAAACAACAAGGACAACTATTTTTAAAGAACATAAAATGATGAGACTACCGAATGAAGAGTCAAAATTAACTTTATATATGTTTTTTTAAGTAATGAAAAAAATTCTGTATAATATCGAGTAGTGGATACACGACATTAGACATTTGTCAAAACCCACACAAAGAGCGAACTCGAATGTAAACTCATTCGTCATAATAGATCAATATTGACTCATCAGTTGCAAGAGATGGACCGCACTGATGGAAGATATCAATGATAGGAGACATTGGGGGGCAGTATATGGGAACTTTCTGCTCGGTTTTCTGTAAACCTAAAACTGCTCTAAAAAAGTCTATTAATTTAAAGCACACACATCAAAATATTAATGGCAGTTAACGCTCAGTGTTGAACATGTGGACAAATTTTAATTTTTTGTTTGAATCTTTATTGAAACCCTCCAAATTTTCAGCAATGAGCACGTGTTTTTTAGAGGAGAAAAAAATTATATAAATTAACTATGGAAAATTCTAGAGACCGCATGAGAGGTTAATATCAAATATTCCACTTATTTCTGTTTCACATAACTTTTAAAAAGATCTGCCTGAAGCTCTTATGAATGTTAAAAATAACATCTATTTTAGTATTGTTTAGAAAAGAATCTCAAGAGCTAATCTTTTTTATTTATTTTTTTTAATTTTTTTAAATTTATTTTTGAGAGAGAGACAGAGACAGCGTGAGCAGGGGAGGGTCAGAGAGGGAGACCCAGAATCTGGAGACAGGCTCCAGGCTCTGAGCTAGCTTTCAGCACAGAGCCCGACATGGGGCTCGAACCCACAAACTGCAAGATCATGACCTGAGCCGAAGTCGGACGCTCAACCGACTGAGCCACCCAGGCGCCCTTGCGCTAATCTTTTTTAATGATCTCTTTAGAATTAGCACAAATCTGGGGAGAAAATTTTTTGTGTTGTTTAGAAAAAAATCTGGGCCTCGAAGGACCACTTCTGCCTGCTTGGAAATCATTAGTAATATGTACACGCAACACTTTCTATTGAAGAAAAACACTATACTGGAAACCAAGTTCTTGGGGGAAAAGAGCCCCCAGATATACGGATCTCTGTAGAGTTAGAGGTATCTGCTTCTCTGATCCCTGTGATCTTAGGCAAGCCTTTTGCCTGAGTTTTAAAAAGTTTCCTTCTCAGGGAAAAGGAAACCAAACCTCTCTGGATTGGTTGGAAAATACCCAGCTTTAGCCCATAGAAGAATCCTGGTATCTTAGCACAAACAGGTGCTTGATAATTATGAGTTCCTGTCCTTTAAAAAATACACTTTTCAGTATTTTAATGAGAGTCTTGAGATATCAAGACTTTGATACCTGATATCGGAGATACTGATTTATTGGAGCAAGGCTGGAAGGTTCACGAGAAACCTCACCGTTGGGAGGGAAGGAGAAGCCCTTGACACTCAGCACTGTCACTAGGTAGAAGTATTAAGTGGATAAATCACCAAACTTCTCTGCATCTCACTTTTCTAACCGGTTAAATGAGAGGTTTGGACCAGCGATTCCTAAGCTTCCTTCAGCTTCCATCGCTGCATGGGGAATGTCAGTGTGGCTTCCGAGTAAAAAGGCCTAAATCTCCTCCGGTGACCTTTCTCTCTGCCTGCGGGACCAGCCATCACTCAACCGCCCTGCAAACAAAGCTGACATCTGCGTTCTACCCTCCTCCCCACAAAAGCCGGTGTCCCAAGGTTTCTTTGAATTGTTTTCCTCTCTGTGATCTGCTCTGTACCAGACTGACTCGCAGCTTAGGTCCTAACAGTAGCCAATCTGTAGCTTTGACCGAAGATTCGTGGTATGCAGGATCATGTCCAGGGACCATTTCCGTTAATATTTACGGAGCGCTTAATAATGCTGTGTCGTTTACATTCCCTATCTCCTTAAAGCCTCAAAGCAGCCCCAAGGTACTGTTATCATTCTTGTTTTATAGATGGGAAAACGAAGTTCAGAGAAGGGGAATGAATTGCTTATTGGAGGTTCCCCAGCCAAGTAAATGATGCGGCCAGGATCGAGCTCATGCTCCCGCTTTTCAACGCCCGGAGGGAGGCTGTCCTGTGCCTTCCTACAGGGTTCTGAAGAATTGCGGTCTTCGGTCTGCTGGAAGTCCCCACTGCTCAGGGGTCTTTCAGGAGAAGGGACAAGGGAGCAAAGCGTTCCGGGCTGAATGTTTCTCTCCTGCCCCGTCCCCCTTGCCCCTCACCCCCCACCCCCGCAGTCTCATATGTTGAAGCCCCAGTTCCTAGTGAGATGGTTTGGGGAGGCAGGACCTTTGGAAGGTAAGCAGGTTTAGATGGAGTTATGAGGGCGGGGCCCCATGATGGGGTTAGTGCCTTAATAAGAAAATTCTGGTTCTTTCCTACTCCCTCTCCCTCTCTCTTGGGAGGACACAGCAGGAAAGTGGTCAGCTGCAAGCCAGGAAGTGGGCCTCAGCAGACACCAAATCTGGTGGCTTGATCTTGGACCTCCCAGCCTCCAGAAATGTAAAAAATAAATTCCTGTTGTTGAAGCCACCCGGGCAGCCAAGCTGACTAATACAGGAAGGAAACTCCTCTCTCCTTGTTTTAGATATTTTTTTCTTCAAGGACCTTCCAAAAAGTAACTCTTCTGGCCTGGGGCCCCACCCTCTACTGCTGAAAGAGTTACCTAACTGGTGGGAAAAATCCACTGGTCCACCTAACTTATTAATCCTTTACTAAAAGCACAGGATTCACTGTTTTCAAACCTCTCCACCCAGACTACTCCAGAGCCAGACTGTCACCTGGACGGGATACCTGATGGATGACATCTGACTGCCGGGGGTGGGGGGAGGGGGGAGTAGGAAGAACATGTAGAGAATATTAGCAAGAACTTTTCACACAGACCCAAAGCCACAGTCTTTAACAGACTTTATCCGAAACATCACTGACATTTTTATCCTCATTTGTCAGTCTCCAGCATCTTGTTTCTTGATTGGTTGTGAAGGTGGAAAGGGAAGGACAGAGGGCTTGGCTGGCCCACAGTTGCCCCTGAAGTGGGAGGTAAAAGCCTCGTCTACGCCAACCCTGAGGCTTCGGGGAAAACTGTTTAACCTCTCTGTGACTTCCTCCGTCTCCGTGACATACTCTGGTAAAGGGTAAGCGTGATGTGTGTTAGGTCCTAGCTTTCTGTCTGGCACATGGTAAAATGCTCAGTAAATGATGGCTGTCATCATTGATCAGAATGGATAAGAAGCATTTGCTGTCCTTTATTCTACAGTTTATCAGAGCAGACAGCTCTCTAAGTTGAGCTTTCTAGGATGGAAGAATAATGTTTGGCATTTGCCACATTCTTTGGGCACATAAGTACCTATTTGGTGCCTAGTCGATTTGGGCGGAGAGAGAAAAGCGTTTTCCCAGTTTTTTGCCCAGGAGCCAGCTCCAGCATGGTCTGCGGTGCCCTCCCTATGTCTGAGCCAAAGGGATGCTGGAGGGAAGCTGATGGATTTGGAGGGGGTGGGATGGGCCAGGCAGCCATGAGGAAGAGAGGAGAGTGAAGGGGAAAACCACATTCCAGCTTTCTCACTGGCCGACCAGAGTCCACACACACAGCCATTAGTGTGAGGGGTAAGTAGCTGTCGGCAACAGCCTGATTCCCACATGGTTCCGAAAGCTCTTTAAGACCCTCTGCTCCTCTCTGAACCGTGAATCTGGGTTTCCAGGGTGTGCATGGGCTGGACTGAGAAGGACGCTTTTCGCGAGTGGTCCTCCCCAAACACAGTCTTTCCCTTTGCCTCAATCAAGCAGCTCTTGAAATCCTGTCTTCTTTATTAAACCGCCATGATTGATGCCCTCCTCTGTCGATTTTTGCTTTATCGCTCTGACCCCTTCACTGTGACACAGCGTGCCCTTGATCTTCTACACGATGTAATCTCTATGCTGGTGATGGGGCACTGGCTTTGGGGGCAGGCAGAGCTGCTGGTGGTCCCCTTTCACCTTTCGCTAC